CACACACACACACACACACACACACACACACACACACACACACACACACACACACACACACACACACACACACACACACACACACACACACACACACACACACACACACACACACACACACACACACACACACACACACACACACACACACACACACACACACACACACACACACACACACACACACACACACACACACACACACACACACACACACACACACACACACACACACACACACACACACACACACACACACACACACACACACACACACACACACACACACACACACACACACACACACACACACACACACACACACACAAACACACACACACACGCGCGTACTTTGTCTCCGTGCTAGTAGTTAATAAAAATTGTAACAACCCCGCGAGGAAAATAAATGTAATCGTCAAGAATTATCTAAATTCTAATTCAAATTATATCACAATTTCTTTTCGAATCCTTCTCTTTTCCCCCTTTATTTCTCTTATCCGCTCTCGGTCCGTTCGCAACAAAGAGATTCAGTTCTATGATCGAAAAAGGACCACTCGTCGTACGTCGATACACGTGTAAAGCGATCCTTCTGGTCGCTGACTCGTAACTCGACCTGCTAGTACGATCGAGGCCTTACGTCGTGTTACGTTCTCTACCAGGACGTAACATCCCGACGTAACAATAAAATTGTATAAATATATACTAACGTATGCATACTTATGCATAATGAGATATAATAATATGTAATTACACAGAATGTGCGATTTGTGAATGACTTGTTACTTTATATAATTATGTAAACTAATGTATAAGTATGCAGAAGTATATATAATTATATGTAAATATGTAGAATGATGCATATGTACATATAATCAAAATATAGGGCGATGTAGACACGAACAGCGGCGTGTTGCCTCGCGACAGCGATAATCTTTAGAAATAAACCATTTTTCTTTACACGGAATTTGGCTTACCGATACACGTGCGCTCACGTGCATCATTAGCTCACAGAGAATAATTCATTCCTCGTCTACTATTGCGAATTTTGCAAAATGGTACATGACTTTCTATTTAATTTAATCCGTTCTATTTTCACACAAGCGGTTGTATGAAATATAACAGTACTTGTATAAGTACAAGTCAGCAAGATATCGTATGAAACATTAGAATCATTATTAGCTCTCTTACTATCAAAGTGATTCAAGTAGTAGCTACCAAGACTAGGACTAGGACTATCAAGCGGAACAGGTGAAATAGTTCGAGTTCGAAACTAGGAAGGGATATATGAAATAATTTTTTTTTCTCTATGCGTATTGAGAAACACTCAGTAAGTCCTTTTTTAAATTTTAATAGAAGAAACGAAAAGTTACTATTTATAACATCAAAAGGCATTTGTATTATCGAAAATTATGCATAATTATGTATAATTTTATCTATTTAGATATAATTATGTATAATTATATATGGACAAATTTCATATATAATTTTGCATAATTTTGTATAAGCATTTTTGTAAAATTATGCATGAAACATTTTTCATTGGGTTGATCGGGCGCATTCTTTAAATCAATTTACAATTGATTTTTAACTAGGCTTCAGTTAATTCATAATTATGGAAAAAGAAATAATATGAAACGATCGTTAAGAGAATTCGATTCTGTGAATAGTACACCTAAATAGACAACAATATTATTTCTTTTTGTTGTATTACTTGGAATTAATTCTAATCATATTCCAATGATTGAATAATAGAGAACGATAGAACTTAGAATTCGATTAAGTGAGATATAGACACCAATCAGAATGGACGCATTACGTGCTCAATAAACATTAAATGAATCATGTATCTTTTCATCTAGCGTAAACTAATAAATAAAATAAAACAATTTCATTGATAAATGTAATAAAGTTCAATGATGAAGTTCAGTTGTAGAATTAAATATCGCGTGATATATGATGGGAGTATAAGAACAACAGAAAATTTTCTGTGTAGATTTTAATTTTATATCGCCCAAAACTGACGCGTTTTTAAAAACAAATAATTTTAACATTTATTAATTAATTGTTAATTATTTAACAATTATTAATTTTTCATTTAAATCAATAAAACTGTATAATCTCAAACCTGGATTAAAAAATATCTTGAAATAGATCGTTTTTTCAAGCCTAAATCGCTTGAAAAATATAATATAACATATTTTGTAATATCTATTTTTTAGAATGCATTTTTATACAATATGGCTGACATATCTGCTCTCATTTTCATGGCTAATTTTACGTTTAAGTCAGAATTTCCACCTATAAGTCTAATTTCCTTGCTCGAAGGCCGAATGCCTAATTTTGAGGGCAACTTTCCTTAATCAGGGCATTTTGACTTCAAAGTTATGGACTTTGAAGTCGTCTTGTTCACCAATAGGGAATTGCGACTAATAAACCCAATTTCCTTACTTACAAGTTAGATCGACTTTAAAGTCATGATCAATTGTTTCGATCGAGATATAAGGCGTTTTTTCGTTTCATGACCACGATACCGTTTGGTTGGTTTGGTCCACTTAACGCTCGCAACGCCTCGAGCAACAAAGATAGAATGACGCTCGCGGCGTTGTGAGCGTTAAGTGGACCAAACTAACCAAGCAAACGCTACCGTGGTTACGAAACGAAAAAATGTCTATAGAGGTTAGGTTATGGTAACTATTATCGGCATCAACGAATGTAGACGCATATCTAAATTCACTGGCGACATACTGCATGTTCTGACAGTGACAAATAAAGAAAGTGATCAAAATGAGTGCTGACCATTTTACAATTGTGGCTATAATAAAAAAACATGGGAACATAACTAAAATGGAATATTCGTATGTTCCACATCAATGGGTCAAAGACGATTATTTTGGCCGTCAAACCAATCTTTGACATTGAGGAAAGATCCATCAAGTGCTCCTGAATCCAATTGGAAGAAGTTTAAATATAAAGTTAAAAAGGACTACATTTTCGAAAAGGATGAAGCCGAATTATGGGAAGAAGAATTTCTAAATGCATCGTGTACTGAGTCAGAAGAAACGTATGTATATTAATACAACTGTCATTTTCCCTCTACTTCTCTTACATTGAACGTCAAATTTAAGTGCGAAAATTTATTGTGTTACAACAATTACAATTTCATCTATTTGTGAATATTTCTGTAGCTTGATAATTAACCGGTAGCTTCTCAATAATAATAACAAAACCAATAACAATGGGAATAAGAAAACAGTAGAGAAAACGAACATCGACACGCTATTTGACAATATTGTTGCATTGAACATTCAGACACATATTGCTATTGCTTCAGAAAATATCAAGTCCCATAGGGAAGAAATAAATATAACTTATCTAAACGAAGGTGGTGTACTCATACCAGAATTCAAGGATAACAATTGTTTGAACACTGTAGATGATGTGCTAATACATGAATCAAATTTAATAAATAACGAGGAAACTTTACTAAGTATTAGTAAGTTTAATTTCTCTGAACATTATACGCATCATTCATAATAATCATTAACATATATTATTTCAGTATTTGATGCACTCAAGGATATTCAAGAACGACTGAAACGATTAGAAGAAAATCAAGTACGCATACTGGAAATGAAGTCGTCAGATAATTCCATATCTAAATTCACACTGGACAACTTGTATACCATGGTGAAAAACTTGCACGATAATAGGTCTATTATTAAAACCACAGATTCAAAGTCGACAACTGACTGCGAAGAGCCAAATGAATTTTAAAGAAAATTCATTTTCCCATTGAATAAGGTTTCTGATGCCCTGGCATTTAACTTAGCACTTAGTGATAAAGATCTAAGCTACAAAAAATATTTGGTAACTATGTACTTATAATCTATTCACCTACTTCGCCTACTTCTGTGATATTTCATTATTACCTATTTTAATAGACAATAAGATTTACAAATAAGCAAAAAATAAGTGCATAATATTTACTATAATCCAAGTTAGTTTCAAAATTCGCTTTTTTACTATATGTATGTGATACTGAGTACGAGTATAAACAATATGTGACAATTAACTCGGGTTGTATTGAGTATTATGCACTTATTTTTTTGTTTATGAGTGTATTTTATTGACTACTGAAATGTACAACAACCCAGTGAACACAACGTTAAATGTAACGTACATGTTAGTTGTAATTTCCGTCGTTCAACTCAACGATGTAACTGTTATATAACACGTATGTTATATAACAGTTATATTGTTGAATAGAAAATTATAAGTAACATGTACGTTACATGTAACGTCGTGTTGACTGGGAATATAATGTGACTTTAGACATCGCATTTGAAACCTGTGTTAGAAATGGAGTCGAACTGGGACGTCGTACTACTCGTACTCAGTATCGCATACAGAACATAAAACAGTGGTTATAAAACTAATTCGGGTTAGGATGATTATTATGCACTTATTTCTTGTTTGAGAGTGTAATTATTGACTACTCTAATTCACATTACATATTTTTATATAATATATAATTTATTATATTTTTAGCTTAATACTTTCCAAAAGATTGGCGGCATAGAAGGGATGGAAGACGGGAGAATGGTCGCTAAAAATTTACTAGCCATTTTCTTTACAAAAGAATTATTGACGATGTTTTCATGGACAGGGATCTCCAGGACGGAGGGATTAAAGAAGGAAGCATTTCAATCGTGCCACGGAATAATTAATTTCTTTGCAGAAATTGTTGGACGTGCAGATTCGCGATGGACCCTTACGAAAAAATACTATTAGTGGTAATAGTGTCACTAATAGTATCACTATTAGTGCTAATAGTGTTACTAATAGTATCACTAGTAGTTCTAGTAGTGTCACTAGTAGTGCTAATAGTGTCACTGTTAGTTACACTATTAGTGCTATTAGTGACACTATTAATGTTAATAGTAGCACTGTTAGTGATACTAATAGTACTAATTGTGACACTGTTAGTAATGATAGTGACACTACTAGTATTAGCAGTGATACTATTAGTGACACCAGTAATGTCAGAAGTGACACTACAAATGCCAATAGTGGTAATATCAGTATTATGGCTGCGTTCCGTTTTACGTATAATGTGCACATTTTGTACAATATACGTGATATAAAGTTTAGATAAATGCGCGCATATGCGTAAAACGGAACGTGGCCTATAACCCAGACAGCACAATGTCCAAAACCGGGACATAAGACGACTTTAAGACGTCTTTAAGGGTCATATTTATAGTCGGGTCTTATATCTTAAGTTTATCTTCAGATACTCCATAGCCAGTGAAATAATCCGCACATCATCTGAAAATGAACTTAAGACGGTCTTAAATATAAGATCTGACTATAAATACGGGCTTTAGTTGTCTTTAAGATGTTTGCACGAAAGACGTCTATTATGGCCATTCTACAATAAGCTTTTAGTCATAAGTCCTAATAAAATTGACCAATCATAGTCGAAGACTATGAGAAGAATAACTATGAAAAGACTATTAGAAGAATAATCCACTGTAATTGGTCAATTTTATTACGACTTAAAACTTATTGCTTATTGTAGAATGGCCATTAGACATCCTTAAGACGTCTTTAAGACGTCTTATGTCCCGATTTTAGATTTTGTGCTGTCTGGGAAGGGTGTATATCAGTTGGACACGGGGCAATTGGACACAGTCCAATCACAAGTCGCTGTTCCAAGGGACCCTACAAATGTCTCTAATCACACGGTGCTGTGATTGGCTGTGTCCAAATGCACTGTGTCCAAATGCACCGCTCCCGTCTGGGAAGTGGTACTTGATGCGCTAATATGTACAAACATGTATACCTTATTGTTATTATAGAAAAACTATGAAAGATAATTAATTATTACTATCGGGAATACATTTTTCAGATTATTACATATAATTTTTGCTTACAAACATTTATTTTCTATGACAATTACATTTATAATGTGGCACAATTACATAAGTGTATGTTCCTTCCTTAAACTTCCTTAAACTTAATTCTTTATTAATCTATCTCGATGTTGTTGACAAGGCGCGTAATAACGAAGTCATCATGTCCTACATAAGACTGCATTCTGATACATTTTCTACGCAATGAAGTAGGACAGATCGCGATAAGATCGCGATAAATGTATTAGTTATAGAACATACAAAAAATTGGTTTCTCGATGATATAGTAGAATCTGAAGTTAATGCACAATTCTGTGTTAGTCCTGTCTATGTTAGTCCTTGTATGTCTGTGTTACTACCACGTCGTTTAATTGCAATTGTCGGCTGCATTGTGCGTTATCTACATTAGAAGTAACTACTGCAATTGCTCTAGAACGGAGTGTTGATTGTGGCACTTCACGATCATTCCTCAAGTAGGACTTGTAGGAGCCTCTTGCACAGTTGCTATCCACTGCACTATTCATATTTTTACTAACGTTGCTAAAATGAAATAACAAATGTAGACCTTATTAATTTCCTACTTTCTTGTAATATTTTGTAATACGCCAGCAAATCGAAGTTAACGCTTCTGTATTTATTCGGTTCAAGGTTAGTGTCCATAAAGGCCAGTGATGGCCCGTGCGGAACAAAATCTCACAGGCTCGAGTTTGCGCATGCGTCAGCTACGTCATCCGCCAATGGTAATCGCAGGAGTGACTGCCACGTCACCCTACGCATGCGCAGAAGCTCTCTTGCCACGGAGAAAATCTAGCGAACTGTCAACACTGTCCCCCATCCCTGCACTATAGGCGATTCGCAGTCATACGCTTACATTTGCATTCGGGGAGACACTAT